AGAGGTATGATACAAGTGATGCGCATAGCTAATTTTTACCATTATTATCTTAAGCCAATGATGGCAATTTGTATGTATATTTCCCTGCGACAGGGGGGGGGGGGGGGGGGGAGGGTGGTTGTAACCCCCCTTGCGACCGGGCCTGATCCATTTTTGTTACAAAAAGTATAAATAAGCATGCCCGATGACTGAAATTTAAGTGTCCACATGAAAGGTGATCTCGCCATTCGCGCCAAATACCGCGGGATCAGCCTTATAAGCACAGGTTACAAGGCCTTATCTCGCGTATCGAGTGAAAGACTGAAGCCCACCGTCAATGAACTGATTGGCCTGAGGAATTGTGCCAATGTGTGTGAATTGGGCCTCCCATATACTGAGTGGGTCTCTTACTTTTGGTTTAAAGGCCTAAACATATCCGGATTTGTCGATGGATATTTATAGCAGTCGTTAGACCTGTTAACAAGGTCAACCTCAAGCTACTCACCAAGGTGCAAAGAACCAATTTCATCTGCATAATCGGAGCGCTCAGAACCACGCGAAACGATGCTCTGAAGGGATTTATCAGGAGAGCAGGTGGCAACGCACTGCTCTTCGCTTAAGAGAGACATCCCGATGGAGACATGGACCCCAGGGATACTCTTGTACACTAAATAAATTTTGCTTGATTCCGAACAGCACAGACCATTGCGCTTCGATTTCTGTTCCGGAAACGAACTTTAGAACAAGAATCCGAAACAGGGCGGAGTGTAAAGAAGATATTGATATCTACACAGATGGCTCGAAAATCGACGGTAACGTATGACGGAACGTTTTTTCACAAAACCCTCCTCTTAAAAACTCTGTGGCGGGCTCCAAGCTGAAGTTTCAGCTGCTGAGAATCTTGGAACCGAAATTATGGGAAGAGACGTCTTAACTTTTAGTGATAGCCAAGCCGCAACCGAACTTCTGAGCTCATTCACCTTTTACTCAAAGATTGCGCTGGCTGCCACCTATCTCTGCAGGGGATGGCCAAGCAGAACAGACTTCACCTCACTTGCGCAATGGTCATAGGGACATAGGGGAAGCTGCATGGCAGGAGAACTTGCAAGGCAAGGCACGACCAAGCCGATTCTTTCTGGTAAGCAACGCATCCCTATGCATTTTTGCACTTGCAGGCACTTATAGGTCTTTTCTACACATTACCGATGAGTTTGTAACCACAAAATTTATTACCAAAAATTGTTGCCACTTCTTGTAAGCGCAATTCTGGCTACGTTGGCAACGTTGTTTATATATTTAGCAATTCAACTACTATGTGGTTTTGTAAAAATTTTGACAGCGTATATCTCATGGGTCATTATTTTGTTATCAGCTTATATGATGGTAAACAGTTTCTCCGGTTAAAAGAGTGCGCAGAATATGGAAACGGTTTAAAAATTTACAGAAACTTTATTTGCCGGATATAAAATTTTTCTCACCCGCGCAGAATAAAATTGTTAGCACATTTGTTGAAAATCGAGGCAGACGTGACCTAAATGGGATCGGAAGCGATCACGAAGGGTACACTCTCTTAGATGAGAGGATATATCTAAAGATGTGAGGGCTCTAACCAGGCACTGTCTAATAGGTGAGAATAGAGAGAGCCTCGGTGTGCCCTTCCAAAGATACTGCAGAGGCTGTAAGGACCAGTAAGAGAAGAAACCAGTCTTGCAAGCTGCGTCATCTAGGTTCATCGTTACTGGCCAGCCTTAGGGATATTCAAAAGGCCTGATCGGATTCAACAGCCCGAAGAAATGGTTCAACAGGGAGGATAATTGAACGGCGTCAATCTGTAGTAACACAATGGGCCTTCTATGTGTGTCCTCAGTGTGCCGCTAAGCCGGTAGCCAGGAGTGAAAATTAAAGGCCATATTCACTATGCATATCAATTCGTATTTTATTTTCTTATCTTCATAGTAAAACTACATTTCTAAATAGAATAGAATAGATGCAATTCCAGCTGCAGGCAGTACTACATACATAAATACATACATATTTATATATACATGCATACATACTTTTTTATTGCCATAACCATTTCAATATTCAGGCTGCTTGCAGTTCATCGAATTTAATGCAAAATTTTCAATAAAACAGCTAGACGTGTGCAAAAGCAATCGCAGAAATTCCATTAGGAATATTAAAAAAAAGTAAAATAAAACGAATGCAACTAGAGCTTTATGCTCTGCACTCTGCGGCAAGTGCAATATCAATAAAACGATAATTTATGCATGTGATACGACTAATGGGAGCGGCGCATGGCATGACTGAGGCAAAAGACTTTGCCGAGACACCTGCCTGTCCGATAGAGGGCTTGCTGGTGTTTAAATTGCCATAGATGTTGCTGTTGCTGTTGCTCTCGCCAGTACAGCTGTAAATGTTTAGTCCTTTTTCTGCTAGTTTACCGTTTGTTTGCAATTCCTTAACTCAAATTTCAAGTAGCTTTTGCTACCGTGGTTGCAGGACTACATTAAGCTTATATTTTACAATTGCTCACCTGGGGCGGAACGTCGAGTACCATCAGCTCGCGTATGCAAGTGTCGCACACCAGACAGCTTTTGTAGATTTTTTTGCGTGTCGTTGTCTGATGGGTCTTCGGGAAGTCGTGATAGAAAAATTGCTGCAAATAAAGAAAAAGAGAATTGCTGTTGGTTAAATAATGGTTTTTCGATATGCGAGCGAGGTGTTATTTAGTTGTTAGTTTCAAATTTGTTTGAAGTAAAATGTTGCTCATACGACGTGGATTACTCAACGCCGCTTACTACACAGTGCGAAAGAAACTTACATAATTTCAAAACACACTAAACAATAAATATACTCACGAAATTAGTAGCCGGCGTCAGGAGTTTTTTTAAAAGGACTTTACAATTTCGAAGATACGCTTAACACAAACAAATTATTTGAAACATTCAGCGCAATGTAAAATAGCAATTTGAGTATCAAATGAATGAGAAAATTCTGTAGAATTTGGAAATTTTTTTTGGGTTTTTTTTTTTATCATATATAGATATAAAAAGTTTAAGTAATATGTTTGTAAAATTTATCAGATTTATGGTAAAAATTTTGTCAAATTTTTGCGATGTAAAAATAAAATTTACTTCTTTAAACCCTGGTAACCACCCCTAATTTGTTTTTTTAAATTTGAAATTTTCTTCTATGTATCTTTTTTTTGGGGATAGAACAAAAAAAAATTACATGCGGATATTTTAAAGATCATCTAATACATATGTATGTATGCACACATTAGGGTGTTCGATTTTTCGCACTTTTTCGAGAACCAGTTTTCGAGGTATTCGAAAAATGGCAATTTGAAAAATCTGGTTATCCATTTTCATCTGAAACCCGTTTTTATTTTGCATACATTTTCTCTACCGTATCACTTTCTGTGAGTCAGAAACCATGGCCTAAATTAAAATATGATTGCGCTAAAAGTAGGTATAGCTTCTATTTAGAAACCAATAAGGCAAATTCAGTGCGTGGTATTTTACTTAAAAAGATTAGATCATCGAAACAGTCTTTTATATGTTATGCTATGTTATGGTGTGGTATGTTATGTTGTGATATGTTATCTTATGTTACGTTATGTTATGTTATGTTTTGTTAAGTTATGTTATGTTATGTTATATTTTTTAAGATAATTTTTTTTTTATGTTACGTTATATTAAGTTTTATTAAGTTACCGTGTTCCAAGCATTTCACCTCATCTCACCTCAACTAACCTCACATCAACTCCTCTCAGTTCACTTTAACTCCTCTCAGTCCACTTCAACTCACCTTAGCCACTTCAACCGAACTTACCACATTGTATATCAACTAAATTTACCACACCTCACTTCAACTCACCCCAACTAATGCTATTTTACCTAAACTCGTTTCACCTCAACTCAACTCACCCTAAGTCACCTAACTTATCTAAACTCACCTCGCCTGAACTCAATTCACTTCAATTCACCTCATCTTAACTTCACTCAACTCTACTCTTCTTAGCTCACCTAAAAGTAAAAACACCTAGTTATCTTCCACAAAATTTACAAAAACCAATTTCATAGAAGTTAGTTAGCTAAAAAAAAATTAATCAAATAAATAATACACAACTCGGGCCATTTAAATCAAATAATTGTAAATTGCACATACTTTTATATAAAATATACAAAGCTGGTGATTACCCACATTTTAATGACATTGGATATTTAAAGCAGCACTAAGACTTATATAAGTACTTGGAAAATTCGATTGACGTTAGCCACACGAGCAGTTTTTCTCACAACAGAATTGCTCCTAATAAATTGGGATAAATGTATTCAGTTCACATTCGTTATTTGCATTATTGCGCATTTCCAACACTTAACGTCACATTTATTGAATGCTCATTTGTGGCTATTCGAATCAAGTTATGGACGTACGAAAAGCAAATGACAAATATTTATGTGATTTTTACGCAAAAGAAATGGAATATATTTGTATGTACATTAGACTGAATCACAAAAGAAAAGTTCAATTAATTCCAAACGATTTGGAACACTTACAAAAAGAATATTTCAGGAGTAATAACTTTTTTCGGCACGCTGTAAAAACAGCTTAATATTTATTCTATAAATACATATATTCCACCAGAAAATATTACCCTATAATTACAAGGTTAAAAAATTGTAATTTCTTTCTGAACATGGCACCCTGTAATACGCTCCCATGATGAAGTGCGCCTTGACGATATATTTGACAAGCTTGATAGCCGAGGACATTCAGCCAACTAAAATCGCGAAAACATTTACTTTAATTAAATATTTTAATAATTACTACCTATGTAGTAGTCAGCTGTTGTTTAATGAAAATGGTTTATTATTTTTCTTGCCATTGAGATTATTTTCCTGACACATAACATTGCGTAAAGGATGTCGCTTTCAGACAAATGAACATAACTTGAAAAATATATTTCGGATACTAAATAAAAATGTTATAGAAAAAAACGAAACGAAATACATATACACTCCCATAGTGAGTGTTCAAAATCGCTTGGAACGAATTGATATATTTTTCGGCCAATAGATCCGGATGCGGCCTATTGTACATATATATGTATGTACACATAAATATGTACAGTGTGTATTTATGTAAAGCAACTGCCAGAGAGACAAAAGAAAAAGACAAATAAAAAGGAATTTATAAAAAAGCTGTGAAGGAAAACGAATTTGCCGAATATGGAATGACATAAAATTAAGCGTGTTTAAATGCATATAAATTTGTTTATGCTTGCAAGTTGATTGCTCTATAAATATGTGTTATAGACCACATGCCTTCACACGTGCAAACATCCACCCAAACATATGTAAGTACACACAAAATCCTTTACTGTTAAGCTGAAGCGCGCGTAAAATTGCTTTCGATAACGGCAGCATCGGCTTATGCTGTGGTATAGGCATCTGGAATATGTGTTTGTATACACACATACCCAGTGCGGAAAGAAACTGCATAGTTTAAATATTGATGCTCAACCATTTTTTAACCACCACAACTAATTGAAGATCTGACTTTCTTTCTTGGAGCGAACTGTTTACTTTAACATGTCGATGTCCTAGGAAGCAGTCAGTTATCCGACCCTGCATTTGATTTCACTATTTTAAAATGCATTTGGCTTAAAGCACTTCAAAGTCAGTATGTTTCTTTGCAGATGTCTTTCAACGAATTTAAAATAACTTAGAATTAAATTGTGAAACAGTTAATTGCCCTAACTAAGATGATTTTTCAACTAATATTGAATTAGGTATTTGCAAAGGTATCAAAAGTGTACGCATTTGGTTTATCTCAAGGAGGCTGCTAGGTGATTATAGATACATCAATTTGAAGTTAGTTGCTACATAAGCAGAAATACTACTTTTTCTGAGATAATTGGTTGAGCTATGCCGTACTGGGTATCTACTAGGCATGCAACGTATGTATAACCACAACTCAGAGAGATCGAGTTTAGGCAGTCAGATATTTACGCAGTTTATGTAAACGAAAAACCAACTGCTGCTACTTACATATATACATATGTGTAGGCATTGTGATGTTCTGGTCCTACATGGCCCAGTTAAGAAAGTGGCAAAAGCTTTAGGTATTTGGGGGAGTAACGACATCGTGCACATCACACCTATAAACTTACTTCTAATTGTCTATTTTTAACCGACTTAACCGTCTAGACTTAACTTGTCTATTTTTGACCGTTAACCGCATTCGTTTTCGAACTGGCTGTCGAGATAGATCGAACTTAAACTTAGTTGTTGATATGTTATGGAGAAGTGTCCCCAGAAGAAAAAAATGTAGTTTAAGATTGATATTGGCACTAGCTAGTAAGAATCCATTTGTATTTTATGAATTTAAAGGGCAATTCTGTCAAAGATAGTTTTTTGTAAGATAGTTTGAAAGATCTCATTTATTCTGGCACAAAAGCTCCCTTGCCTACTTTCATGATGAAAAGCTCTTTTGAGAAAAGCACTTGAGCATGTTTCAATTAGAGATTTATATACATATTTATGCATGAATATTATTTCACTCGCGCTGCTCCAAAGGTCGCAATGGTCAAGTAAGCAAAGGACAAGCGTGCCATTCAAGAGGCTCGAGGTTTGAATCTATGGACAGCGGCTTTTATTATTTTGAAAAGAACTTTTTTAATTTAACTTAATTTTTAGAAATTAAATCGTGCACTTTTTTCTTTCAACTTCATTTTGTTTTAATTTGTAAATTTTATTATTATTTTTTAGAAATTTATTTCACTTTCTTTCTTCTTCTTTTTTATTTTCCATTGTTATTAAATTCATATATTTACTTTTATTAAATTTTTTTCTTTTTTTAATTTAGGATTATTAGAATTTTTATATTTCAATATATAAGAAAGGTGTTCTTAGAAACACTGCAAATTTTTTTTATTTTTAAATTCTTTTTTTTTAATTAAATTTTTATTTAATTTTTAGTTTTTATTATTTTAAAAAGAAAAATATAAATTTTATTAATTTAATTTAATTTTTTAGAAAATTTTCTGCTGAAAGACAAACGGAATAACAGGAGGAGGTTTTTCGCTAGCAGATCTTCCAATTTGCCTTTCGTAAACCGCCTTCGGTTGAAAGACAGATGTCAGAATTGCCCTGTTAGAAAGACTCTTCTAAAAGGCCTTCTGAAGTATGTCCTACAAAGCCCTTCTGGAAGCCATTCTATGGGTAGCAAAATTAGATGTCCTCCATACAAAAACGAAAGGAATGCAGAGTGGAGGGCCTATTGACCCTCGGAAAAACTTTGGATCGAGCCTCAAAATAATCTGTAGCAAGGTACACCATTTTTCAAGCAAAGGTTAATGCAATGGGAATACATAACATATATATAGTGTCTTAGAACAGCCATATATGAGAGTAAATTTACTCTATGTCGATGTTTCATTGTTCGGAACCATTTTGTGGACTAGCAAAAGTGCATAAAGAACTGTGTAGTCAAAAAGTTCAACAAACACTGGATTGAATTTCCAGGGCGGCGAGATGCTAACAGTGATGCCAGACATTCTCTGTTAAATATCCCACGGAAATGGGGAAAAAATCCCTCAATTACCCACATCTTGAAAATTTATCCCACAAAATTCCCAACGAATTTAAA